TTCTTTATCTAATTTAGCATATTTCAAATTTATTTAGTATATTCCACTAATTATTTTCTTCTTTTAGCTGAAAAATTACTGAGAACGGTACTCGATCCTTATGCTGCTGCAATATCATCATCTCAAATTCAACAAAAAGAAAATACAATGATGATGTGCAGCATTATGACCAGCCACATCCCCATAATGCTTCAAAATGGTCATATAAAGGACAACTTGGTGCGGTATATGATACTGAGGTTGAAGTAGAAGTTGCAATTGCAGAAGAATATGTAACAGAAACTGAGGAATATACTGAAGTCAGAAGGGGGTTTCCTCTATTGCTGAAGAAAATGAAGACAATCCCGTAATAGATAGCGAATGATGAATTTTTGGGCGATTTGGGGTGGGAATGGGTCAGTTTTAATAATTATCTTTATGTTTTTTTTGGGCGATTTGGGGTGGAAATGGGTCAATTTTAATATTTATCTTTATGTTTTTTTTGGGCGATTTAGGTCGATTTTAATAATTATCTTTACATTTTTTTCGGGTGATTTGAATAGGAACAGGTTAATTTTTTATTATTATCTTTATGTTTTTTTTAGGCGATTTGGGTCGATTTTGATAATTATCTTACATTTTTTTAGGGTGATTTAGGTAAGAACAGGTCGATTTTAATAATTATTTTTTACGTTTTTTTTGGGTGATTTGTGTCGATTTTGATAATTATCTTTACGTTTTTTTTGGGTGATTTGGGTGGGAACGAGTTGATTTTAATAATTATTTTTTACATTTTTTTGGGTGATTTGGGTGAAAACAGGTCGATTTTAATAATTATTTACATTTTAGGGTGATTTTGAGTTGATTTTTCTATTTTTACATTATTTTTACATTTTTTGGGCGATTTTAGAAGGAATGGATCATATTTTTATCATATATTATTTATTTATCTATATTTAGGATGATTTAAGGAGATTTTGGGAGGAAATGGATCATATTTTATTATTTTATTATTATATTTTTAATAGGAAATTAATCAGTAGATTTTAGTGATATTTTGTTATATTTTTGCAAATTTATATTAGGTTTTTATTATTAATAAAATTTTAATATTTAATAAATTTAATAAATAAAATGTACTGATTATTGATGCTAAATTGCTTGTCCAATTAGAGTCGATTGGCATCGATTAACGTCTGAATTGTTGCCAAATTGATACTGAATTAAAGCTAATTTTAGGCTGATTTATGGTTGAATTGCTTGTCTGATTAGAGTTGATCAGCATCAATCAGCATTTGAATTGTTGCTAATTTAAGGCTAATTTTAGGCTGATTTATGGTTATTTAAGTACTGAATTGATGCCAAATGGTTATATCCGATTGGAGTCAATCGGCATCTATCGGTGTCTGAATTGTTGCTGAATTGAGGCTAATTTATGGTTATTTAAGTTCTGAATTGATGCCAAATGGCTATGTCCGATTGGAGTCGATCGGCGTCTATTGGCGTCTGAATTGTTGCTGATTTAATGCCAGTTTTAGGCTGATTTATGGTTGAATTTAAGTTCTGAATGGCCATGTCTGATTGGGGTCGATCGGCGTATATTAGCACCTGTTTGTGCTGATCGGAAAATATGGCAAATTGGACGTAAATAGTATCAAAATTGGTCTAAAATCAACCATCTGATTTTTAGCCGATTTGGACTATTTCAACCAGTGTATTTTTCTTGCTTTTCTGATTCTATTTGTTTAAAGATCCAATCTGATGCAATTTTAGTAATGTATATATCACAGTCATAAAAGTCATCATTAAAAAGGTACTCCACATCTTCAGATTTAATTGAAATGCTTATTTTCTCATGTGTTTCTCTTAATACTACTTGAAGCGATGTTTCATTAGATTCCACTTTTCTGCCTGATACTTGCCACATTTTATACATTTCTTTTTGCAGATTAATTCTTTGTGATATTATAATATCTTGGTAGTCATACATAATATTCATCATATATTTTGGTTGAACATTATTTTCAACTTCGCTTAAAAATATATCATATTCATCTAAGTCCTCTTTCTCATATTCATCCAAGACCTGATCTAAGTTTTCCCTTTCATCTACCATTCCTTCCTTAAAGAGAATATTAAATGTAGCTCTTTTAGTAATATATGAGATAGAAGCAGTTTGTATACTAAAGTCAAGGTTCATTTTGGTCTTTCTACACCAATTTACTCCTAATAATAATGTATCCTATGAAGATTCAATCACTTGAAGTTCTACTGAAACTGATACGTGTTATATAATTATTCTTGCTTCAGAAATTTGTCTTAAAACTCTTACACAACTTCCATTTGCTATTATCATGATTAATTTAGAAGGTTTATCAATGTCAAGTCCTAACTTCTTAGCTAATTTGTTAGTAATAATACTGACGGCTGCTCCTGTATCAATTATAGCTTCAATTGGATTATTTTTAATCCTAATATACACTTTATAAGAAGTTGATTTCCTTCTATGTTCATTATCTACAAATTCTAAGGAGTTGACATTAGGTGTTGATACAAGATGACATTTTAAAGCATTTGCTAAATTCCTTCTTTAAGCTGGTATTAGTAACTACTGTTCTAGAATTGCAGAGGATTGTTTTGATAGAATATCATCAGCTATATTATATGGTGCAAGATTATCAACTCTGAAAGGATTTCGTACTCTTTTAACTGGTTTTTGCTTTAGGGTAGATTCTACTTCCATTTCAATTGGATTAATGACACGAGTCCTAAGATTCATTTCTTTATTTGATTCAGAGGTTCTGGTCATTTTTCTTTGTCGTGTTCTTGCATTCTTTCTATCAATAATATATGGTCAAGACCTTTCTCCTGTATATACTTCAGATTTTTCTTCTTCCTCTTCATCATCAGTAAAAACTTCAATTAGATTAGCCTCTCTTTGCTTTGGTTTAGAAGATCTTTCAGATAAACATTCCCTAGAATAATAGCCTTTTTTATCGCATCACTAACAAACTATTTGGCTTTGTCAAAGGTTTTCTATCATTATTATTTCTTGTAGCATTTGTATTTTTAGATAGAACATTCGTATTCCTTGGGATTCTATTCTGCGTTGCTAATACATTAACAATATTTGCATAATTGAGAGAGAATTGTTCCATTTGCTTCATCAAAGCTTCAATTGCATCATTATTTGTAGCTTGTGGAGATTCTCTTATGTAGTATATTCTAGCTTCAATTGCTCTGGCTTTATTAACAGCTGCTCTTAGATTACTAGGGTCCACTATTGTGACTCTTGCTGTAATGTTAGATTTTAATCCATTCAAAAATAGTCTAATTTCATAGTCATCTGTTAAATGATCACCTGAGTCAACTAATCTTTTAAGATTATTAAATCTAGCGCTATAAGTATTTATGTTTTTATTTGTCATTTGTTTGATGTTAGACAACTCGTAATGCCATTTATTCTTTTGCCTAGCTGTAGTAAAGTGAGCTCTAAATATAGAAACAAAGCTTGTATTGGCCTGCCCTTGCATTTTTCAATAACAAATATTTGTTACTATATTATCATACCATAATGCTGCTAGTTCTCTTAGATATCTGGCAATAATACTGCGTTTTCTTTCAGTTGTCCAATTATTTGCTATTGCAGCTATTTCAAAGTGTTTAAGCCATTTCTTTGAGTCTTTACTATCATTTTCCAAAATGGTTGTATTGGTATAATATTAGTTTCTCTTGGAAATGCTTGTAGTCAAGCATCTCTAATTTCTTTAGCAATTCCTTTAAAAGAGTCACTCATTTGTCTAATAATTGCTATGATACCCTTATTACCTAATGCTTCATTATCTTCCAGTCTATAGTCTTTATTTTCATCTTTCCATTCGTCCTTAGGGTCACTACGTTGTCCTTGTTTAGGTGGTCTTGATCTGCCTTGTTGATTATTACTTTTATTCTTTCCTGTTATGATGTCAATTAGTGTTAGAGTAGGGTTTAGTACTAAAGGTGCTATTGAATCAAATTGGATTTTGACTGGTTCTTTAAAGAAGTTCGATTCTTTTGCCGCTTTAATTATACTTGAAGTTATGAAATTTGAATTTGGTCCAAGTATTTTAGGATTGATAAAGGTTAAGCTATATAATAATTTTTCAACTCTAATTTACAATGGTTTTCGATATACTGCTGTAGTTGTATCAAGTTGTAGTTGTTCAAGAAAGATTAGAGTAGCAAGTTTTTCTGATAGTTGGTCAAATAGTGATACAGTTTTTTCAGTAAATATAATTGCTCCAAACTCTGTGCTAATCCAATTCCAAAAATTCCTAAAATTTCTAGGGATATTTTCTGGTATTAGGTGACAACTTAAACAGGTATAGTCAGTTGATAAAGTCGTTTGTCCTTTATTATGTTGTTCAATATGTGCTTTTTGGAGTTTGTAATATAAATCCAAATTCATTTACAATTTAACTTTCAAGAGTCTTTCTCCTAGCAGAATCACCAAACTGTTAGACCTGGAATCGTCTCAAACTAAGCTAACAAAACTAAGAAACTTAATAACACAACTATCTCAAAGGCCTTTCCTAAGAGAAATTAACGATTAACAAACAAAATAATTTATTATCATGATTCACTTATGTAGTAGGTTATTACGATCAATCCTATGATGAAGACAAGAAGAAGGTTGAAAATGTAAAATAGTAACTTTATTAAGCTGTAGAGTTATAAGTTTAATCCCAAAACTTATTCAGAAAACTATCTGATCGAACTCTGTTGACTCAAGGTCAACTTACAGATCTATTTATATAAAATTGTTAACTAATACTATACTATGCCTTTTAATAAATACATTTAACGAAAATAATATAAGTAATGAAAAGTAAACTATATAATATTTATATTAAAAGGTAAACTATTCGATACATGTAATATAAAGTTAACTAAACGATACATGTATTACATGTTTAACATGTATGATATTCGGCGCAGTTGAAGATCATTTTTAAGGCACAATATAAACTGCAGCTAACACCGGTTAATATGTTAACCATATTAACTGGTTAATTAACCGTTAAAAATTAACCAGTTCTAACTTCTCTCTCTCTTCTCTCTCTTTCTCTCTCTCTCTCTCTCTCTGTGTAAATTAAAAGATCGATTATTATTATAAAAAATTAATCATCACGCAAATGTGTACGACACAGCTTACCTTTTAATTTTACATATTCTCTCAAGTAGTCAACTTTCTCCTCATCTATGTGATTTTTGAAAGAACATTTCAACTTTAGTTAAGTCTCTGTCAGTAGTGAAAAAAAACGCGTAGCTCAGTTTTTTCATTACTAGTGAAAGGAACGTTGTCAATTTTCTTCAAGATAGAACTTAAATCATTATTTTTATTTTAAATTATGAGTTAAGAGATAAATTTTAAAAAGGAACCGATAAGACTAAAAAAGAAAAACTGATTTTATGAAGAGGATTAACTTATATCAAGCTATATGAGCGCGTCTTAAATCCAGTGATGGCAATCTCTGAATGATCTTCGAATGAGCTAGTCATTGAGGTCATTTGTCATTTGGTCATTTAAATGTAATACAGGCCAAATTCTATATGCTGGCCAGAATTACAAATTTATATCATGTGAAATATTTATGAAAAAGTTCAAATCATTAATTACATTAATTATTTTGGCCAGAATTATTGAGATCAAATGATATAATTTTAATTAGTCAGGTATTTGTCATTTAATGTTGAAATGACCCAAATGACACATGACTAGTCATTTGAGTCATTTGAGATCATTTGTGTCACTGAATAAACTTTTATCAAACTTTGATTGTTATGAAGCGTTTTGTAGATCCGATGCATTACGTTCTGATATATCGATTCCCTTGATAAGAGTAATCAGGATTATATCATCAAATACTCGTCTGGTCGTTACTATAAAACTTAATCAAAAATATATATATATTAGCATATGCTTTATTGATCATACGAAAAAAAAAAAATACATGATACCTACTTAAAACTATTTGAAAATGGATAAAAAATCCTTGATTAAAGTCAAGAGCATTATATTGCTTCCCTTTCCGTGATATTAGAAATCATAAACCAAAATATTGTTCATTAACTTGTTGCTTTTTTGCAAATGCACAGCTTCAACCAAGCGAAGTATGTAAACCCATCTTAATTGCTTGGAAGTTTCATCACTTCTTCACATTGCTCGTTAATAATAAGTTTTTCCTGAGGTAATAACAATTTGAACGAATGTCAATCGATTTATAATTTATAATATAACTAGGGAGGTCTGAGGCATATCCATCTCACTGCTACCACACACCCCGCTGATTAAAATTTTAAAAGCAAATCAACTTGAAAGAAGAACCTAAATAGTACAAATAATATATAAAAAGTTAGTAATCAAGCTTTAGGATTGAATTCCCTCGCTGTTCCGTCAATACTTCCGCCTCGTAACTAGTTGAATTGGATGGCTCTGATGCAATGGTACACGAATAAAGTAAACCTTCCACCTTCATTCTTAATAAATTGATTCTTATTTAAATATTTCCTTGAAAAATTATACTATAAAAAAAATGACCATCTCTAATTATTGTATTTGATGAAGTCCTGATAGAAATATATGAACAAAATGAGACAACACACCATTTCTTTGAAAAGAATTTTTGCTTAGTTCTCAATAATTTTTGATATACATCAATATAAAAGATTATGACGAGTTAGTCGAAGCTGATTTTAAATCAGTTCGAATCTGATGAAGCGCAATCATATTTTGAAAGTTCAAAATATGATAGTGCCAGATGCTGGCATGTACATGTAGTAGTTTCGGATAAGCAAATAAATATATATGTTTTTATCGTTCGATTGGAACGATGTTTTTGACGTTTCAATTGAACGATGTCTTTATCGTTCGATTGGAATGTATTTTTAATCTCTCCAATGAACTGATCGGAGCTTTATGTTTAACAAAACTTCAAACAATAAAATCAGTATAAAACAACTCTTTTAACCACCATCAAAATTATAATTTTTTAAAAAAATTTAATAAATGACGTCTTTTATTATTATTAAATTTTTTTTTTTTATAAACTGATTTTCTCATGTTTTATTAATAAAGTCGAGTCGTCACTTTAATTATTTATCCTTTATGGTAAAATTTCGTTATGGGAAGGAAGTTACAAAAGACTTTTTTATTTTTAACAGGTTATGGATGAGGGGTTTCACAGTCAAATCATTAATCTAAATAATGAATTATGAAAGTAATTTAAACAGAGTTAATTCTATACAGTCTAAAAAGTCTATAAAGTCTATAACGTTTACAATTTTTTAAAAGTTTATAAAGTCTAAATATAAACATTTGACCAAATCTTTAAGGTTAAATAAGAATTTTCTTTCGTTAATATACCAACACGAAATATGATTTAGTACACAAAGAAACATCAAAAACTTAACTATTTTAAATAAATTTTTTACGTGAATTAAAATAAATTCCAGATAACAAAGATTCTTACATATCATCTAACCTATGAGGAATATATACCAAGCGCATTTTTGGATCATCTTTATAGGAAGCGATAACTAAAAAAATTTATATTTACGTTACACATGCATGAATAAAAGCTTTGGTTTTTAACCCAAATGATAAATGAATTTTATCATGAGAAAACTGTGGTGTGGAATTTATCCTCTCTTCAATTCAAACAATCCTGCTAATAATTGAATCCGACACCATAGAATAAAGCTAAACCGCAATTACGAATATTTGGATTTCCATGAATTCGTAATGCTTGTTTGTTCAGAAATAAAAGAGAGACAATAGTAAACATGAGTAAATGTTTAAAAGGAATCGAACATACAATATATAATAAAAACCTAAATAACTCTAGTTCACTCGATCTATAATGAATAACTAAATACAGTATCTACATTTGAATTAGCGTTAATGTTTAGATTTAATAGATTTAGGGATTAGAACATAGAGTTAAAGTTAAACTGTAATAGAGTAAATTCTGTTTTTAATCACGTTAAAAAAAAAAATCTGTTTTAATTTGAATTTTTAGTTTCATATGAATTTAATATATTGGTTTATTTTATTTGTTTTCATTGTTTCCTCACTTCCCAATGACAAAGCCTTTTGATTTATTACAGTGCTGTCAAATGATATAGAAATGACATTAAATACATTGATTTTACTATGAGAAATGACAAATGTCATTTAAAAAATAGGCAAATGACATTGCAATTTGTCAACACTGCTGTATTGTGCCAGGACGGCCGACATGATTTTTTTTTTTTGGAGACTTTGCTAAACACATCTACTCTTGTCCAATCAAAATATGGTTTTTTCGCGACGAGTTATAAAAAAAAAAGAACAAGATAAACTCGATTATTAGATAGACTTCGTTTTCTGAGCACAAAAGTCCGCTTTAATAAATAATAAAATATATGATAATAATTCAAATCATTTTATGACAGTAATAAAATAATTTCACAATGTTTTTTTTTATTTCCTTAAAAAAAATAAATAATATAAAAAATAATATAAAGGTTTATGTTCGTGAGCAAAAATTAATCACTTTGAGCTAAATTAATATATATAATCGCCTAAGGAAAGGTGACAAATCCTATTTATATTTGAATAGAAATTATTTCAAAACCAGGTCCGAAAATAAAACGCAAGAAAAATTATCTGAAAACTTCGTGTAATTGGTTTTTCATTTAAAAAGTTTAAATATTCTTAATAATTTTTTATGTAATGATATAGAAAAGTGTTGTATCGAAACTTATTTAATGATTATAAGCAAAGCATCAGTTTTGTTGAACCAATAATAATAACAATATAATCATTCAAGATGGCAAGCAACGAAAAATCATTTACATTCAAGGCTGGAATATGTTTACCATTCCCCCGATGTATAATACAATTTGCTCGTCTGGATTCAAAACTAATTAAAAATAATAAGGTATTTATTAATGATCATTTAAATATTGTAAAAAAAAAAAAATAACATACTTGTGCATTTCGTATTCTAATAACCAAGTCGAAATCTACCTTAACTGGGCACGCAAATCAGCTTGGCAAGACAAATAATTTACAAAAATCCAATTCAAATTCAGCCTCGCCTATAGGATCATGAAATTTCCTCATAAATGCATCTTCTTCAATAACTACGGTAGTAGTTCCAATCGTATGGACGGTAATATATTGACCTGAGAACATTGATTTTACGAATGATAAGAAAATATAAAGTAAATTATAATGCGTTTTATTTTCAAAATGCTTAAATATTTACTAAAAAAAAAAACAGTAATAACGCTGATCTAATATCTGCCAAAGTAATGAGAGAAATCAAGTGACATTTGAATAATATTCATTTGCAGTCATAACCTTTTTTTTTATTAAATTGCCATCAAAAATCCTCGGAAATGTGACATTTGACCAAAAATATGCTAACACCTTAATAACGTATTACAAATAAGATTTCACCACTCAAAAAATGTCCTCTGAATAAATATAGTAAAAACGGAAACTTGAGGGGTGTGACAAAATATTTTATTATAATCACGTGTCCGAGGATTTTCAACATCATATGATCCATAACGTGATTTTAACCAAATTATTATAAATACGTGAAAACTAACCCTTCCTATTTATTAGCTTTTTACGTATTCTCTTGAAAACAAACCTTCCTATTTATCAGCTTTTTACGTGCTCTCATTAAAACAAACCCTTCCTATATTAGCTTTTTACGTATTCTCGAAAACAAACTCTTCCTATTTATCAGCTTTTTACGTGCTCTTATAAAAAACAAACCCTTTTTTAATCATTACCAATATCAATCACCTGTTAAAATATTCGTTTATCTTAATTTTGGCCACAAATTGAATTTCGACCATAGTTAAATTCATCTATTTTAGCCAGTTAACATGTTTACCGCTTTAACTGGTTAATTAACCAGTTATAAATTAATCAGTTCCAATCTCTAGTTATGGTGCTGATTTTCTTTTCCGGTATATCTCAACTAGGAAAGATATTTGATGGTGAGAATGGAACAAAACTTCTGAAAGAGATAGGTAAAAAAACACCAAAAATGATGAAAGATATCTTTGCATGGCCGTGGGTATGAAAGAGGAAAAGATAAGAAAACTCCAATAAATAGGATTTTTTTGCTAGGTGAATCGAACAAGAATGATTGGCATTCCTGCCAAAGTTGAAGAATTTGGCTCCAAAGTATATGTTAGCCTGGAAGACGAAAGTATGATAGAATTTTTGTAATTTAACAAAATAATATTATCTAATGCATCTCTTATTTTTATAGATGATTGTAAGAAATATGATTGATCTTGTGGAGCAAAATAATGCAATAAAATTGAATGACGAAGAACTCAAGGAGTTGAAAAAAGTTGTGAATCTCTCCAACATTACTACAGTTACCGCTAAATAATAGTCAAAACACCACCTTCTCCAAAACGCAATACCACATTGCTCTAGCATTCCTCAAAAGAGGATTAGAATTACCAATGAGAAGGTGAATATGTTTATGCTTTTGTTGTCTTGTTCATAATATTTGATATACTTCTAAGTAAAATTTTTTATCAGGTATAAAGAAATATAAAGTTTAGTATGGTGATTTTTTATATGATGATATGGGAGGTTTGCTATTACGGATCATATTATTTGCTATTAATAGCAAACCTCCCATATTTTCAATCAACGGTACGGTATACTGTAATCTACATCTTTATTGATTATTACATTTAATCCTATCTTTATATCTATAGTAATTTTAATATATAGCAGATAATTAATAAGTATTATTTATTTCATGGGGTTAGGAATACCATGGTTTTTTCCCTTCGGGAAAAATACCATAATATTCCTAACCTCCCATGAAATAAATAATACAAATTAAATCATGCTTGATTATTAAATTATATTTACAGTTCGAAAGTTTGAGGCAAGTTTACATTCAAAGGAAAATTATATTAATAATTTTGAAAAAAAGATAATAAGAACATAAGGAAAGAAACTACTGGGTATCAAATCAGCTTTGGGTGATGCGACAAGTTTCATCTAGGAAGCCAAGGTTTCAATAACACCGTACAATTAGCAAAAGACATACATGAACTTAAGAGAGAGGTTGATATTAACGAACTGGAAGTGAAAGGACCCTTGGAAAAGTATGTTTGTTCACTCACCGGCAAAGGTGCTAAAAAATATACCTTTGATTTCTGGCTTATTATATCGTATATTATGAAAGAGTCAAATCGTCAGAAAATGAAAGTTAATCGAAGTATCTATCCGATTGGAAATTTTTGAAAAAAAAATATACTACAATGAAAGAAGAACCTTGTATCGAACTTGAAGGTTTAATGTAGATGCTTGTGCGTTTCCGATAATTGGATCTAATCTTTAAGAAGCTGAAAAAAAACTGAGAAAATTTTAAAATGATCTTCACGCTCAAATTATAACTGGCATTATATTGCAAGTTAATAGTTAGCATCCTCTTTTTTATTATTGTTATTTTCTTATTTATAAATTTAAATTTATAATAATAACTGTATGTTATCAATAAATTAAAATTCTTGTGGTAAACTTTGACTAATTTTTAAGATAGCCACTAACTTTTTTTATTACAAAATGTTAAAAAGAATAAATTTTGGTTTGTTACAATATTGCCTCCTGTAATATAAAATAAGCTATACTATAAACCGAAATCTCTATATATTTCTTTATCATTCACTCCAAAAAAGAATTTATTAAAGGACTATTATTACTTCGGTTTAAAATAAATAAATATATTTATTTATATTAATTTGTTATACTATACTTATCGTAGAATCAAAAATTCATCAATATGTTCATAAGAAATACAAATTTTATCAAAGAAAATGACAAATAGTTTCTTCAACAATAATAAATATGTAACAGGCCATTTACTATATAAATTACATTTAAAAAAGTGTATGTTGCTTTAACTATTTATATGACTTTACAAAAAATTTTATACTCCCCAAAATTTATTTCTTCGTTACGAACGAATCTAAATTACAAAGGAATTCTCAATCTCCGATAAAAGGAAGAAATGATTAGATTTGAAGAACCTTCCAAATTTAGTAAAAAATATTATAAATTCAAAACATAATTTAATAACGTTTGTTAATAAACTAATCAACATGAATGTTTCCACTGCTTATCTCATTGCCTATAAACGATGTATCAATATAAGTAAAACTATAAATCTATTTTGCTATCATTAGCGTCTCTTAAATTATACCCTGTATGTATATATTTGTTTGAAATATAAATACCAGAGCAATTTTCACAATGACTTGGGTACAAAATTTTGTATCCTTAGCTTTATGTTCATTGCATTTACATCGACGTATTATATTATTATCAGTTAGATAACTAATATACTTGAAAAGCAACTTTTACAATATCTTTGGAAAAATAAACTGATAAAGAGTATTCATTTCCGCAAGGACATTTATATCTATAATAATTGCTTAAAAGGAATAAACGTAATTGGTACAGGACTAGATTTTATTGTTAAATGAATTTTCATTATTTGTAATCGTATGTTTTATCTTATATTATAATGAACTTGGAATTTGAATAATTCATGAATATTTATAATAAATATAAAGATTCCGGTTAAAAGTCAAAATTCTTTGGGAAAATTGCATCGAATATCCTTGTTGATTTTCAATTAGAATTCTAGCATTTTTGAATTCTTTCGAGATTTTCTTATTACAAAGAATAGAAATAATTGACAATTTGGCGTAATATTAAAAGGTAATGGAGATTATCGATAACTTTAGAAAAAAAATATATTTGTAAGAACATTAAACTTTACTCATATATAATGAAAGGGACATTTTCTACCGGTCTTCAAAATCACTCTCTTAGTTTTAGTTTTAGTTGGTCACACATTTTCTTTTTTAAGCATTATTATAAGCCAACAACACATATTCTTATTTCTAGTTAAATTATCAATTACAATATTATAAATTCATTTACTAATTGAATTATCAAAAAATTTTTCACAAAGATCCTCCTTTAAGCTTGCGAGAGGCGTATTTATTTTTATTTTATTTTTTAGAAATTGACAACTTTGCATAACAAATAAGTTTACACTTTTTTTTATTGATCTGTCGTCGGAAGCGTCGTCATTTCTTGTAGGGAAATGACATATTAAACATAACCAGTTCTTAGTTCAAGTTTGGGTTATGAATTAAAGAGTACATAGTATAGCGACTAGAAAACAACAACATAGTAGATATTTTGATTTAACATATACATTAATTATTCTATTATCCTGATTAATGCATTTAAATTATTTAAATTCAATCTTGCCGTTTCAATTTTTTCTTTTAGCAGATATTATCTCATACTTGTGTCAAGCTGTAATTTCTCCTCTGAGGTAACAAACCTTTTACTAAGTTAATTTATTTCTTTAGGATATTTGCAACTATTGATCTTGACAAACTTAAATACCCAAATTTACAAATTAATATTTATAACTTGTATATCAAAATGAAAAGTTGAACATAAATCGTGCAAATAATAATGATGATGAAGCACAGTAATTTTATTCAATAATTTTATCGTTCCTTCTGAAGCATTTTTATTTTTCTTTAAAAAAATTATACAATTTCCTCGTACACATTTAATATTAATTCTGAGTTGGCCAAATGTTCGATCATCGAAGAACCAGTTTAATGGTCGCGGTCATTGAAAAGTCAGTCATTCTCCGTTCCGAAACCCTTAAACCGATCGAAATCCTGATAAAATCAAACGAGAATTACTTCCTTTTTTGTTTTTTTGTTTGTATAATAGTTTTAAATAAGTAAAAAAAATCAATTAATGACGGTTTCTGTCTGTATTGCCGAAAAACTGATTGTTAGTACTTTGATTGAAAAAATTTATTAAATGTTTCGAATAAATTTAAATTAAATAACATTCATCTGTAAAACAATTACGTTTGAAGGTCATTTTATAACGACAGGCTAGCTATTAAATTCACGGAGCATATGATTTGATTTACTCGTGACCAATTTTATAATTCAATAAAAATTACGATTAAGCAATTAAAAAATTAAATCAATAATTTTATCAAGATACCAATTTTCTAGAGTTACCAAACGCGGTAAAAAATTATGTAAAAGTAAAGTCCTGATAATGGGTTTTTATAATAATTATTTACGCAAAAATGTTACAAACCGATGTGACTACATGCGCAGCATATTTTTCATCACGTGTCTTATTTTTGATTAGATTTATCAGATTTTTGAGTAACTTGATTTGAGTGAAGTGAGTAACCGTAAATATGCCTTCAGAAGATTTTTCGGTAAAAAGTTCCTTTTAGAAAATTACTCCGATGGATCAGGTTATATAAACATCTGAAATATCACTAAAATCATTCGCAGATAAGATTTAGGGTGTGGAGAGGGTGGTTAAAAATTGAAACATATCGGCTTTTAAGCCGCATAATGTAAACAAATAATAGTTTCATACGCCGCAAATCGATGAGTATATTTTTTCAAAAAAAAAAAAAAACTAAAGAACAATCATCGACAATCATCATTACGTCATCCGTCCGTAAAATAACATATAAATAACTGAAATTATGAAAGAATTAGATTAATAGACGATTAATAAAAAAATTATTTTATAAATTATGTATTTATGAATCTATTTTCTAATCTAACAAATTTATGAACTTTACACAAATAACGCAAAATCCTTTTGAAAAGCATATTCCAATATTTTATAACACTGCTCATTACAAGGCAAAGGTTCCATAATTTAATTTCACATTTGCACATACGGCAAAAGATTCTAAATGTTTTATTCTATATGATTATATTTACATGATAACACACATAAGCCTGCAAAATAATAATCATGTTTATAATTTGCTCGTTCAACAATTTTCCCTTCTTTTGTATTTGAAGATTTTAAGTTTTTGAATTTTGAAACATGTATCTAATTATTTGTGATGTATATAAACAAGAACGAAATAAAGAGGATGGATCCGATAAAAAAAAAAATGAGTACTTCACAACTAGAAATTGAAACAACTATAATTTCAAAATTATACGTTGTCATGTGATTGATATGACGTTTAATTAAAATAAATAGGTATTTATATATTATTTTTAGATATTTACTCAAACTATTGTTATAACCTTGCTCTTATGGTGTAGCGTTAGAAATTGACCGTTCTTAGGACTTGAAAAGATTTCTCAAACCTTGGAAAAAACATACGACTGAAATTCGATCCCATTGCAAGAGTTTTGATCCTTAGAAAACAATCCGCTTTTGTCGATCCTGTCAAGAGGTCGATGATTCTTGAAAGTGTCGTGAACCTTTGAAGATTTGCCCGATTAAATGTAAAATAATCACGATGAATTATTTTTTTTAATAAAAAATATTTCA